GATTTGTTTCTGTGAAGAAAAAAAAAAAAAAAAAAAAAAAAAAAAACCCACCCTTTTTCCTGGTCTACCTGAAGGGGAAAATTATCGTGCCGCTCTGCATACCTCATTTAATTTGTGGTAATATGTGTAATATAACACATAGCTGGGCTTTTGTTCCATGCTGTGAAACAACCCTGTTTGCCATAATAGTGTAATAGTGACTTTATCCATCACCAGACTTTCCAAAGCACTACAGCAAGCAAATAAGAGCAAATACTGCATTGTTTGCTCCCTTGCATGGACACTTATATGGAAAGGTTTTAGAGTTTCTTACCAGTGGAGAAATTATTACACAACTAATTACAGAATATTTTGTGTATACAATCAAGCTGAGGCAGATGAATTAGCTCAATGGTAACTTCTTTCAGACTAAGTATGTGGTGTTTACAACCCCCTGACACTTAAAACTTCTGATTAAGAGGGTTTGTCAGCTTCACTAAGCCAATTTTATCATCAGGGGTGTAATTAATGTACTAATGTTTGGAGTGCCATTGCTGCTTTTAAAGGTGTTAACAGCCAGAGTAAACCAAAGTAATCACAAGCTGCTTTCTTGTTTGACAGTTCTAGGTAAGTGACTCACATCACTGTCTCCAGTTAATCCATTTTTTTTGGCAAGTGCAGGGTTTTGACATATGATATTATATATGGATTATGATGTTCAGACAGCACGGTTTTTCCATAACAGACAGTCATTTAAAACCTGTCTCTGCGTGTTGTTTTTTCAAAGAAGTATTATTTGGTTTCCAATATTTGCATATAACAATTTATTAATAGATAGGATTTAATGCTGGAATATTTAGTGCCATTATGGGATAAATTCAGAAGACAAAAGCATGATGAACTAAATATCAAGCAATAATTTTACGGAGTGTCAATCATCCTTAGAATACAAGCCAAGACCTAAGGAATAATTCCAGACCTAAAAAATGATGCATGGAAATAAATGAGAGAAATAACAGAAATGTATATTGTGATAGCTGTAGTAATTTGGCCAGGTGAAGTTTTACAAGCATCTAAATGAGCAACATGTAGTTTATATTTTCCTGTATGTGATAGGGGACCTCAGGGTTCACTCATTTCACTTTCATTATGTAGTGTTATTACAGGTGTCTGTGAAGGGGGTTGCACAGTGTCAGCAGAGTGAATGGATGACTTGTACCGGACACCCATCGAGAGCAGTTCATTTAACATTGTTTCATCCTTTTGTATTCAGCGTGGTCATTCACACTGTGTTTTTAAATTTCTCCTTAATATTTGGGCATCTCAGCACAAACCTATTTTTTCACAGAATGTTTTGCCTCCAGCAGGTGACCAGATTGCAGTAAACTGAGACTTTGCCTTTGATGAAGCAAGTGGGTGACATCATAGGTACTGTATGTCCATGTTTCTTTCCTCTGATCCAAACTGTAGTGAGTTACTTGTTTTTGTTTTTCTGCCACACAAGTGGTGCCATATAATGCTATTAAACAATGATCTTTTCACACACATGGCCAATTAATTACGTCTGTACACACCTGGGTGTACACACACACACACACACACACACACACACACACACACACACACACACACATCCAGGACAACAGCAAGAATGATTGACAGGGTGATTCACTGTGTTATTATGACCTGTTTAGGACATACAGTTCAGTTCTTGAAGAAAAGGAGCTAATAAATGGGGGGTAAAGAGAAAAATAAATGTAACCTTCGCTGTTTCAGCATTTCATGGTAGCAGTGATGTCCTAAATGCTGTGTGCATGGAATTACAGTAAAAATAGGTTTCACACCTGATTATATCTTAGTTCAAGGCCTTGAAAGTTAGAACATTATGTTATGAACTTAACATAACTATCAGCCTTAGTTGCTTTGTGAAGCACTTTTCCTAAATGTTAGTTACGGGAGTGAAAATACATTCTCTTTAATAAGCTTTACTTTGCTATGGAAAGGTTTAGGTACAGTAGGACACTTCAAACCACCTCTTCCCCTTTTTCTCTTAAACACGACCGTTGCAAAATCTGAAGACACCACAAGCGGCTACGTGTCTTTGTTCACGTCTGTACTTCATGAGCATCTGTGAGAAACTGTATTTGACTGCATAGTCCTTTGATAAAGAATCATCTTTGCTATATAACATCTGCTTGCTTGGCACACTAACCTTATTGTTCCTTGCCACTACAACACAACTACTCCTCACTTGCCTAGTTTCAATTTCTCTATACAACAGAAGGCCCACTTTATTGCTTTGCTTAACAGAAATTACTACACCTAATTTCAGTTAATATAAAATTATATACAGCTCATTTACAGTATCTTTCACTGGAACTAATAACAAGATAAGCAGTGCTGTAGCAAATGGTGTTCTGTGGTATAATGCAGTTAACAAGCTCAGGGGTTTCATAGCATCTGGCACCAGGCTGTGATTCAGCAGAAGTCAGACAGCTTCAGGCCATAATGTAAAGATTTACCTTGTGTTCTAACAGGGAGGATGCCCGGGCTAAATTTACTGTGAAAATACTGAAACAGAGCCAAGTCCCGGAGGAGTGTGTTGAGAGAGTACCAAGGTATGGCAGACCCTTGTTGGGCCACATGTATCCCCTAGCTCCACATCCCTCTAAACAAAAATAACAGCATGTTCTTGCCCATAGCCCATAGGATTTCCATCTGTGTTTTAGTGCAAACAAGTACACATGAGCACACACATGCACATACACAAAATACACACACAAGATTGTGCGCTCTAAAAAAAGGGGATTAAACTAAGGGTTTGGATGTGGTTAAGTGGATGCTCTACAAAAGGTCAAAACGTGAACTCAACTGGCCATGCAGTGTTAAATAGCAGTGAACCTTTTTATTAGCTATGTCAGAGCTGTCTGACTTGTTACGGATCACCTAGTTTAATACAAAGAGAGAGAGAGCTGGTGGGCTTCTCATTAGTTTCTGTGCTCTGGTGTACTTACTCTAGGTACACACCACTAAAATCAATTTCAGTTTCTAATCTAAAATATCTGTGACTGCATATTTCTAAAATAAAATAAAGCAGGGTAAAATTTCAGTCTACGTATAAAACATGTCGCATTGCCTCATAAAAGTACGAATAGTGATATGCAAAGATTTCCTGAAACGCTGCCACTTTGCATGGCACCTGTGATACACAAACTGTTTGCTGGATCATGTCCCAGAACAAAAGGTTACACAGTTCGGTGCCATCTGTCTATATTCATCAGCCTATCTCACTTTAGAGTACTGGATACCTCAGCTGTCTGAGCTGGTGTGGTTGTATGTATCTATGTCTAAACTGAGCTGCCTTCAGCCACACAATACTGACATCAAACTAAGAGAAATGATAAATGGAATTCACCCGTATGTGCTGTGAAACTGAGACACAATGCACTGATACAACTAATACACATACTGTAGGTGTGGGGCAAAGCAATGGGCCTGAACACAATATCACCTCCAAGTTGGCAGCCTTTGTTTTTACTGCAGAGTTTGCCATCTGTGTGCAATATCTAAAAATGTGCTACGTGGGGAAATTTTTTTACATCAGTAAGCCACTGTGAAAATGGTTTTGGCACTGTATGCTCATAATAAGCAAAAGGCTATCGCCAAGATCAGCATCTGTGCTGTAAGTAAGTGCACCTGCTAGATGATGGCTAAGAGTCTTTGAACGCATCACCTGGTTGCTATATGGCAGGAAACGGTGAACAGTCAGGATTTCAAGACAACAAATGACAGAGGAAAATCAGGGACATTATGAAAACGTGTGAGAATATTTTTCAGTGGAAAACAACAGAAAGAGGGATGATAATAAACAACAGCATAAACCTTTGTTCTCTCCTTTCTTACCTTCCCCTCACCCACATATAATATCCTTATTTCCTCTTACTGTTCTTACCTTGTTTCCACTTCTCTAAAGCATCCCTCTTTCTAATGTTACCACCTTCCTCTTTCAGTCTGTTCAGTACTGTCATCTCTCCCTCCTTCCCTCTCCCCTCTTTTCTTGTCTTCTTCCAGCCATGTATCTGCCCGAGCTTGCAGCTGCATGACCCAAGTCACCAGCAACTGGGACAACACCGGAGGGAGATGGACCCTCGAGGAGCCACCCCCTGGTGTGTGCTCGCTCATATTTTTGTTTGCCTGTGTGTATATTGATGCATGAAACTGGCCACACACTTGCATACAAGCATCCCTGTGCACGTCTTGCCTTGTCAGCACGGTCTGGATTCAACTGGATGATAGGCGCCCTGCTAACTCTCACTGTCAGTGTCATCCAAACACTGAGTAGTTCCCACAGTCTCCAACAGGCTTCTCTGCTAAGCATTAAAGCTAATCCTCTATCACCTGCAAGATGGACGATGGAGCAATGATCAAGTTCCCACGGATAATTTGAGAGAAGTCACTAGCGGTCATTGCTAAAGGAAAGTGTGTTAACAGCTTAAATTAAGCGAGCCTTTAAGGAAGACAGATTTGTACGATGAAATCTACCACCACAACTGTAGTAATTATTGTTTTATGAAACCTAAGAATTGTGTGTTACATGTCTTTATTTAGTGCCAGCTCTCATTTCCTCTCTGTTCTTGGGTGCCTGACAGGTTCAAGGTGTCAAAATACCATCAAGGTCTTGTAATCATGCTGGAGAGTTGTCAACACAAAGAAAAAAACTTCTGTTTGTGCTTGTTCTAAAAGAAAACTTCAAATATATCATTTTCCTTGTAAATATCACTTTCTAAATCCCACTTGCTAAATATATACAAACATGGCCTTGCATTTACTCGTGCTACCCTGAGGAAGTTATATTAGCCTGTGCTCCACTGACCTCTACAAGTCAAATAAAACATATTCTCCTTCAAAAAGATGAAAGGAATGACTCAGATCATAGTTCACACAGCATTTTCTGACTCAAACAAAGGATCTACAAATCTATGCAGTGATGACAGAAAAGCATAGTTTACCTAGTTGTGGTGTGTGTATAAAACCTAGCCTCAAGCAAATCTATGCAGTGATGACAAAAAAGCACAGTTTACCTAGTCGTGGTGTGTGTATAAAACCTAGCCTCAAATGAATACAGATAATAGGGATGTGATGCTGTATAACATCCTCAAAAGCTGCAGCTTTTTAAAGGGTAACAATTCTATGGTAACTTACTTTGATTAAAGTCGGGGCTCTAACATTTATAGACAGTATATAGTTGTATAGTTAAGCATCTACACACCTACAGGCTATGTGTTCAAAGCAGGAATAGACAGATGAGTAGAAACCGGACATGGACCATTTCACATGTTCACCCCAGGAATCCATGGTTTCACTTGAGGCAGAACAACTGAAAACTTTGGCTGATATGTGCATACATAAATACACACATACATACATTTAACCACCTTGTACAGTTATTTTAAAACCACTCACAGACCGCTTTTACTTTCTCTCAACGGGGAACCTGATATAACTCAAAGTGGAGCTGTGAAGTGACGCAACAAGGAACTCATGTAGTTTCAGCACCTCATATAACTCTCTATTTCAAAGAGCATCACAGATTAAAAACCATTCTGCTTTGTAGGGGCAATAGGTTAGTGCAGTCTCACAGAGGTGTGGATCACATGCACACAGACAGGAGGGCTGATCATTGAAAGAACACAGTGTACACAGTGTTCCCTCAGCCTGCCTGCATGGTGACGATCCCCTATCTACAGAGGACAGGCCAAAACAGATGAGGACAGGTCCAGATGTGAGTCTCAAAAAGAAACATGTTCCAGTTTGACATTTCTCACTGCCAAATTCTAGAAAGGTAATAAAGACTCATTAGTGTTTATTACAATACAAAGTGTAAGAGCAGACATTGCAGCCTTGAAGATGTTTTGTTAAGTCTATAAACTATTAAATGGCTGAATAATGAAATAGCATTACATTTCATCACTTTGTTTAACTCATAGTGTAACAATCATGTTCTTTTTATATTTTCCTTATACTTTACTTACATCCAACAAAATTCTTACTTTCCTTATGAAGTCGTAATCATGTGTATGTATGTGTCTATATATTTATGTACATACTTATTTACTTTCTAAGATCATATAATCAATATACCTTTGTATACTGGCTTTTTTACATCCATATAGATATCAGGATAAAGTTTTTTCTTTTATAATATTCATTACAATAATTTTATCCTGCTCCTCTGACATGCTCTATTTTTAGTGAGTATCAGTGCATGTATCTATACTATATCTTCACCATGGCTGTCCACTCCTCACAGTACATTTACTGGTTTTATGGTTTATTCTCACATCTGCCTCGGATCTATGGACTTTAAGTATGGCTGAAATATCAACTGTGATTTATGACATGCAGTTATGCAGCAAACCATGGAGCTCCTTATGAGTGATATGTACTGTAACAGTATATCTGTCACTGCATGGATTGTTTATGTAATGGCTGATTCAGCTGTGGAGATGCTTACATGGCCACTGATGAATTAAGAATCAACTGCTTGCCTCCTCACTGTGGTGCTGTAGAGCACTGCAGTGCATCATGTGGCTGTAGTGTGTACTTATGTCTTGTGAAGCATTTGAAAGACAGATAGTCAAAGTGGGCTCAGCCTGTAGCCTTAAAAACAAAACTAGCTGTGGTGGAGAAAGGTTCACTTCCATTGTGTTCATGCTGTATGTTATTTATTATGTTAGGTTAGAGTCATGCGTCAGCCAGTAAAACAGCTGTTAAATAATATTCAGAGCTTGTTTTACTGCTACCAGTTCAGCACAATTTATAATGTAACACAGAACTATTTCAGGATGTGACTCAGGGGAAGGATCTACATCAAAAGCTGCTGCGTGATCCAAACAACTTGGGAACATACTGTAGTGATGTCCAGCACTGCTGAGCTGAGAGATTGTTTCGGAGTTAACAGGAACCCCGGCCTATCCTGCCTTCAAAAAGCCAAAGAGCCCATCCCTCAGATAAAGACGCAAGTCTTGTCAGCCTCACTGATTGGTCAACTTCTTCTTTGTTTGTTTGGGCCACTGTCGATATGCAGCAGGGTCTTCAGTATGCAGTACTGCAACATTCTGACTAATTGCACTGTGAAGTGACCCCTTATCTCACATAGAGTATATAGCACATTACATTATAGATGAGTTTGGAGATATCATTTACATCTGTATGCTTTGCTTTGAGCTATGAGTGTTACTGGGACAAAAACAATGAGTCTTTCTAACGGGATCCTTAAAAACATCTCTCAGCAACAGCTGAGCACGCTTCTTTGTAATGAGAACACATGTTTCAGCTAATGTGATGTATTTGCTGAAAATCACAATAATGTGTCAGTACCCTGCATTTCTCAAAACCCAAATGGTTCTGAATAACTGCAAAACTATTGTGAGTTTTCGAGAGGTTTTACTGGGAATATTGCATTTACTGCTTTTAAATATTAATGAAACTGACTGCCTCTGTCTTTAAGCTTAAAACCAGTGTCAGTTTCACCTAATTTTTATTTTCACAAATAAAACTTTTTTTTAAATTTAAAGATCTTGCTGTGGTTTAGTCTGATAGCACAATTCAGGTTGAATCTCTGCTTTGTGAAGCAAACAGGAAATGCTTCCACTTTAAATGCCTCTTGAACTTGAAGCCAGTCACAGTACAACAGACAAACTGTCTTCTGGAGATGTTCTTTTACTGGTCTCAGGGTTGCACACAAGAGTGAGTAAACACAATTTACCATATTGTATAAAGAGCCAGGTAGACAATGAAGGCTAAATTGGCCTGCCTCCAGCGTGTACTCAGTGGGTCCAAAGTTCACTTATTAAACCACAGAACACTCTTCTATCTGTTTTGCACACTCACTCCACAATGTAAGCAACACAATCACACTCCCATGCAAGTAACGATATGCATTCAAACACGGAGCCTAACAAACGGAAAGATTCATATCTATCTATGCATGCTAAAAGGACAGATGCAAATCACGGCATATAGATGCATACGAGAAATAGAATAAGTATATGCATGCAAATTTTAGAAAAAGCTCAGGCAACACACACAAAAGCATGTATGCACAAGTACTACAAACTCCTTTTTTTCTCTGTATGGACGTGTATATTTACAGTGTTTGGCAGGTGATTGCACACACTCATAAGACTGGAATAGAGAGATTCTTTACCAACTTGACACCTTTCTCTGAGAGCTCTTTTTATGGTGGATTAACCCCATTTTAGAAAGAAAAGTTCCATGGAATTTAATCACTAAGACTGTTAGAAGCTGAGATCTCAAATTCAAACTCAGTTTTGAAAATGTCATGAATCAGAACCATTATGAAAGTGCATGATGAAAGGACAAAAAGATGGCTATGTTAGGGATGTGCTAGAATGAAATTTGAGGGTGACGTAAAATCTCTAATCAGATCTGGCTTCTCGTCAAGGAGAAATGCGTAAGAGCCCTTTACTGTTTTTGAAGATGGACAGATTTGCCCACGTAAGCAGTGTTTGGGAGCCTGTAAGCTGTCACTTTATCTTCATGCCTAAAATTAGAGAGTTCAAGCATTGATGGACGAGGTTCCCACCAGCATTGTGGTGTCTCAGCTTTACATGCTTGCACACAAAGGTGAGGGATAAACACGTGGTAGCAGACTGAAGGTTTAAAATGCAATTACTTGATAATAGTGCTAGCTTATGTACTGTATAGCACAAAGCATGTAAAAGTGTTCCCTGAAAAGAAATCAAAACTATCCAGACGAGATATTACAAGCAGGAAGAAACTGGGAGAGGTCAAACACTGAGGCACTGTTCTCTAAAACAGCCTACTGATCCAGGGCTGTCTTTGGCTTTGACCCTGTAATAACAAAAGAGCAGGCTGCAGCGCATCATGAAATATGTGCCTAGCTTGGCTTTATTATTGCAGAATTACTGAACATAAGAACAGGTGTGTGCCAGTATGTTTGTCAGGCCATATGTTTTCTGCCTGAAATTAAGATATACTGTATCAATTCATCCAAATGTATTGTAACAATATGTTTAAAGATTGTGGCCAACTGAATTTAAATTGCACTATTTCTGGAATGACCACCGATCTATGTCATGTCATGTAAATACAGCACAGACTTTGTGAAATATCAGTGCTTTGGTTCAGTGTGAGAGTTCTTGTCATCTCAAAAGATTTTCATAATGTTAGGTGCAAGCTTTACTATTTTAAGCATCTGATGTTCTTTGTTATTCCAGTAAACTAAGATACAATCCATTTAAAATAAATGAATCATAAATGAAACATATATGAATTTTGAGGAACTGTGTGAGGATTCACAGAACTGAAACAAAATTGGGTATTTCACAAATTCCCACACCCACTAGATGACTGCTGACATGATACACTCCCACACACAAGTCAAAAACAACACGTCATTATCATGCTCTTCCAGCACGTGACTGATTGACTTCTTGACACCAGTTCAATGATGTTCTTTCTTGGAGCACAATGCGGTCCCTGTGGGATAGCTGCTAACTTTTACATAATGAACAGCCTAAGTAAAATTCAAAATAGTAGCAACACTGTATGTGCCCCTTGTTTTTTTAAAATAGTGTTTATTAGAGAGGTGTATATTTGACACTACTTTACAAGCAACTGGTTGATTTGGCTGTGTAACGTTTGTGTCTTGTCTGACACGTTGTGTACTTTGTTCTGGTGTCTGTGGCATCTGGCTCTTTTGTTTGTTTTCTCTGCTCCCTCTCTTTTTTTCTTCTCTCTCTACACGCCTCCTCTACCAGCTTTTGTTATTTCTGGCCTTTCACACTGTCTCTGAGCAGAAAATCCTGTCTGACTGACTGGCATGCTTCAGGACCGCCTAACCCTGCCACCACCTTAAGGTAATTATCCTGCCTCTGACTTGTCTCGCCATATTCCTTGTTGTTGTCTGGTACATTCTAACCCATTGTTGGCACAGGTGTTGCTATTGTGCCAGGCATTTTCATCTGATAGGGGCAAGAGAG